TGCTGCCACAGGGACGTGGGATCTTCAGAGCTGACCTCACTCCTGGGGTCCCCCATTGCTCCCACCAACTTCCAGGAGCTATGGGGCTGCTACCCTCCTCCCCCCGCCATGGTGGGAGGCCTCAGGGATGCTGTGCTGGTGTTGCTGGGATCTCCAGCTTATCTAGCACTCATCAGAGAGAAGAACTAATTGTCCTTCTCCATTAGCAGTGCCCATGCCCTGCTCACTGCACAGCTCTGAGCAGACACATCCGGACGAGCTGTTTGCCCGAGTGAACAGAGGGAGGCATCACAAAACTGCTTTCGTGTGCCAAGGACTCAACCCAGCCCAGCCGGGTTTACAATGGCTGGGGGTGGAAAGGACCCTAAAGATCATCTAGTTCCAACCCCCAGGAGTTTCTCCAGCACGCCAGGGCCCGAGCTAACCCCCCCATGGATCTGCTGACCCCCAGGGTACCTTGCATTTGAATGGCTTCACTGGTGAGTGCACAATCATGTGGGTCTTGAGCGTCTGCTTCTGCACAAAGGTCTTGAAGCAGATGTGGCACTGGTAGGGACGGACGCTCGTGTGGATCAGCATGTGCCGCTTCATGTTGGCCTGAAGGGTGAACTCCCGCCCGCACACCTCGCACTTGAACTCCTTCACGCCCTGCAAGGGGTTCAGAGAGCCCTGAGCATGGGGCTGGGGCACACGAGTGATGCCGAGCAGGGACCTCTGCTCCCCAGGGGACACAGGACAGGGACCTCGTGCTAAGCTGAGCTTTGGGGACCATCAGGTTGGACAACAGGAACTAGGGGGGAGATCTACCCTCATCAGCTCTTCTGCGCCTTCCCCAGAGCATCTCTGCTCCCCTCTCCCTGCTCCTTCTGCTCGTGCAGAGCGTGCGCTGCCGAGAGCCCAGGGCTGCCCTGGGGGTAAATCCCACTGCCTGGTCCTGCGGTGGGCAGGATCCTGCCTCACCCACGGGTACCATCATCTCACCCAATTTCCATTCCAATGCAATGGAAATGCACTTGCAGCCCTTGGAGATCCCAGTACCAGGTCAGCGCTGCTGGAGCCAGAGCAGCTCCGCAAAGCGGTGCCCACGGGAAGGAGCTGGCTGGGGAGTGTGGTCGCCGTACGGCAGCTGCCCCGGCACAGGGTACATTGGAGAGCCCTGCCCGAGCCCGGCAGCATGTGGGGGCTGCGGGGAGCGTGGGTGGATGGGCTCTGTAAGCCCAGCTGTGAGACCCAGCTCTGCTCCCTGGGCCTGGGCAAATACCTCCCCTTGGAAAAACCCCTGGAAAAGGCAAATCCCTCGCTCCCAGCCTGCCAGGAGGGGCTGCGGCAGCGCCC